ACATCATAATCACCCAAAGTCCATAGACTACATTACAGTTTATTCCTGGTGGTGTATATTCCTTGGATTTAGACATATGCATAATGGCATGTATACATTATTATGTGACCAAATGGTATTTTCATTGTCCTATATGTTAGGTGTTGTGCTAGATGTTCTCAATTAATCTTTGACATTGCAAACTCAGGAGGATACTACTATGATTCTCTCCAATTTATAGTTTCAAAAAGAAGGCAGGCAAGGTGAAGTCTTGCTCAAAAACATAAGAACAACCACAAAGGCAATCTGTCTCAGGAAGTTTGCCTGGATGGGGAGGGATGCTTCACCACTGGGTTACCCTGTTTCTTCTGATCAATAACCTTGATCTTTTAAAAAAAATTATTATTGAAGTATAGTTGATATACAATGTTATATTAGTTTCAAGTGTACAACATAGTGAGTTGACAATTACATGCTGAAAATGCTCACAATGATTAAGTGTAGTTACCTTTTGTCCCCTGTTGAAAAGAAAACCACAGATCCAAAATGTCACTTGGGTCGGGCCAAGTCACCAAACCCAATTGCAGTTTGTTTGTTTGTTTGTTTTTAAAGATTAATTTATTTGTCAGAGTGAGAGAGAGAGAGAGAGCACAAGCAGGGGGAGCAGCAGGCAGAGGGAGAAGCAGGCCCCCACTGAGCAAGGAGCTTGATGTGGGACTCATCTTAGGACCTGGGATCCTGACCTGAGCTGAAGGCAGATGCTTAGCCAGTCAGGTGTCCCCCAGCTGCAGTTTCAATATCCCCCAGAAATGTAGTTTTAACTGGTCAGTCAGGGATTTTCTGAGCAGTGTTCATGAGGTAATGTGTCACATGGACTCTCTTCCATTCCTTACAGAAAGATGAGGTAATCCTCATAATAAGACCCTCTGCCATTCCCCGGAAGGGAGGATGATCTTGCCGAAAATAATCCTTTCTTTTATTTTGCTTACAACTTTCTTCCCACCCTCCTTCCTGTAAATACCTTCCATTTTGTCTGACACCTTGGACCTCCCCTCTACTTGGTAGGTAGGATGCTGCCAGATGCATGAATCCTTTAATAAGGTCAATTAAATCTTCAAATTTACTCTTGAATTTTGTCTTTTTAACGGGCCATATTATTACAATATTATTGACTATATTCCCTATGCTGTGCTTTTCATCCTCATGACTTATTTTATAACTTGAAGCTGAACCTCTTAATCCCCTTCACCTGTTTCTCCCATCCCCTCTGGCTACTACCAGTTTTTCTTTGTATTTGAGTCTGTTTCTGATTTTTTTTTTCCAGTGCCCTTGATCTTGTCGTTACCTCTGCTTGTAATGTTACCTCTTTCCTCCCCTCCCCCAGCAGTTTGATCAAGTAATACCATTAACATTCATAACTCAGTTTAAATCTAATGTGTTTCTCTGTAACTTTTCCAAATGCCTTCACTTTTGTCCTTTTCCTGTAGCTGGCAGCCCTCATTCCCTTCCTCCTCTAGCAAAAACCATTCTATTCTTTTTCACTGAGGTTCCCACGATCATATTAGAGCTGCACACATTGCATTGTTGGCATTGTCTGTATATCAATGTCTTCCACCTTGAACTCCATGAAATCAGGGAACAGGTCTGCTTTTTTGTTCCATTTTTTAAATTTATTGAAAGAGCTACTTCATTTTTCCCTTCCAATCATCTTCCTATTGTCTTCCTCCCCTTACAACTGCCCCGGTGTTCTTGTAAGCACTATTCCAAGGAGTTTAGTTTTCCTAATGGGTGTGGATGATTGGGAACATTTAAATTTCAGCCATGACTAGAAGAGGTAATGAAGAGATTCATAATTGTTAATGGATCTTCCACTAAAGGTTGGTTTCACGCTTTTCCAAATGACACAGAAGCTGCTATTTGTCCTTACAGAATATGTCCTGGCTTCTTAGAGACCTGTTGGGTGAAGATTATTTCTCTTCAGGATGAAGATCTTGCCAAGATGTATCCATGTCCCTGCTAGTATTACCTACTGTTCCAGAAACCTGGGAAGTGTCTTGGGCTACAGCTAAATGTCATTAATTTTAGGTGCTATAAATCCATTGTTAGCGATGAATTTAGGTTCACATTCACCTTTGTTTAGCAATTGTCTCCCTGTGCTACATTTTGGATGAATATTTAAAATACTTAAGATAATAATTTGCCTTTCAGCACCTTGGAACATTACAGTCATTTACATTTGATGAAAGTGATTTTTTTTTAAAGATTTTATTTATTTGACAGAGAGATCACAAGTAGAGAGAGAAATCACAAGTAGAGAGAGGGAGAGAGCAGGCTCCCTGCCTAGCAGAGAGCCCGATGTGGGACTCGATCCCAGAACCCTGCGATCAGGACCTAAGCTGAAGGCAGAGGCTTAACCCACTGAGCCACCCAGGCAGCCCTGATGAAAGTGATTTTAACACATTACCTTCTTTACTCACCACAATATCACTTCAGGATGAACTCTGGCTAAGCCAGAATTAAATGGGCAATTGAGAGTAATAAATTCTATAATTCAGACCTTTACTACATTGTTTTTCTAGTAGTTGGGATCAAGTGAAGAGTAGAAAAAGTGCATGGCAACACAGAAGTCACTCAAAAAATAATTGTGAATTAAATAAACTAAGGGCTTATTTTTAATTTTTTTTTAATTTTTTGCAAGATGGATGAAGAGAAACTCATTTTCTAGCATGGTTTCCTGAGTGTGTATATGTATATATATTTGTTGTTGTTTTTTAAAGATTTTATTTATTGAGAGGGGGGAGGGGCAAAGGGAGAGAGAGAGATATCCAAGTAGATTCTACACTCACCACAGAGCTGAGTGGGTCTTGATCTCACAACCCTGAGATCATGACCTGAGTTGAAATCAAAAGTCAGTGGCTTAACCAATGAAGCCATCCAGGAGCCCCTCCTGAGTGAATATTGTTAAGCCCTTCTTGAAGTTGACTACTTAGCTCTTTCGACTCTGGCTCCAAGGGTCATGGCTCCTACTTTGTTCCTGTTACTACTTTTGGTCACATCCTCAGCTGTCACCCAGAATGCTCTTAGGTCTTAAAGGATGTCCCCTTGTGCCCCCACTTCATTCAATTAACCCAAGTAGAGCTTACAAGGGCCAAGGACTCTTCTGGGTGTACTAGGAATTTAACAACAAACAAAGCAGACGCACCCCCCCCCCAATCACTGCTTGAATGAAGCATACATAAAACTATGCTAATGTATGTGTACAGACAATAAACATGATAAAGCGTAACATATATAAAATGTTATAAGAGGGTAAGTGCTGTACAGAAAAATAAGGCAGAGAAAGGGAATGGAGGGTGTTCTGTGTACACTAATTACAGTTAATGGCTACGTTGTAAGAGAATCCAGAACAAATTCTTCAATATAAATCATATTCATCTTAGAGAGTGATGGTATGGGTACAAGTGATGGATGCCTTCAACAACTTTATAAGGTGCTTTTTTTTTTTTTTTTTTTAATTCCAGGTCCCTTCTTTCTCCATATTCGTTTCCTTTTCATTCTTGTTTCATCTTTTCTTCCCTTTTTCTTATTGTTGTTCAACTATCTTTAATGAGGCATTGGAATGGTGCAACAGAAAGAGCAGGTTTACTAACTAGGACCTAAAACCACTTATCTCTACGAGCCTCAGTTTCCTCATCCATAAAGTGGGGATAATAAAAACATATTTTGTAGTGTTGTGAGGATTAAAGATGAAGCATGTTTGCAAAACATCACAGTCTCTAATTGCAGACCTCTTTAAGTGGTAGCTATTATTAAAAGCACATCTGCTCTTATCCAAGTAAGTGGATCTATGTGTGCTAGCCTCAAAGTAACTCTCCGGGAAGTTGAGAACAAAAGGGGACTAGGACCCAAACCAGGAACGAGTCTTGCAGAATCCTTAATTTTCTGACAAAGGGCTTTGCTAATATCCTATTGGAGATGGATGAGACATGTGCTCTGAACCCTCTGTAACATAAAGTCTCCCTCCAAAGCACCCATGAAGCTCTTATTAGCTAACTTTCTTATCTTTTAAAAATACACATGATAGTTCGGCGAGGAGCCTGCTTCCTCCTCCTCTCTCTCTCTCTGCCTACTTGTGATCTCTGTCAAATAAATAAAATCTTAAAAAAAAAAATACACACGATAACCCTGTTATCAACAATGCCCATAATAAGCATGCTGTGGGTTACGCAGGTTTACGGGTAAAAAGTCACTGAGCCCTTCCGTGACCGTCGGTGGCAGGTCCCATCATCATTCCCAGTTGGAGCTGTAGATACTTGAGAGCTGCGCTCCAGGTGTGGATATGTGGGGGTGGACTCAAGAGTGTGGGAGCCGCCGTGATGCCGGGTCGAAGGGACAAGCACACGAGGATACCTCGTCAGGAGGACTCCCTGTTTCAGAGGCCCGGAGCTGTGGTTCACACCTCCTGAACTGAGAGGGGAAAAAAAACACCTTGCAGGAGTCCTGAAGACCCGTTAGTTCCTTTGGGGTTCCTGTGAGCGTCCTTCATAAGGGTGGCGTCCTCCTATCTTCCTGCTACTCTAAAGAATGTGGTTAGGAGGTAGGTGCGGTGGTAAACCCCACCGCACTTGGAAGCTTCAGGAGAGCCTTCCACCCGAAAAACGAGTTAGACGCTCTGTTTCAGTAAAGATTTTACAAAGAGGGGCGGAGCCTCGTGAGGAGGTGGCGGGGGGGGGGGTGCACGCGGACCTCTGCGAGCAGCCGATTGGCTGGAACAAATGCCCGTCCCGCTTCCCTCCCTCCCCGTGTCCGGTGGCCCGCCGGCAGGGCCGGCGGGCGCGCGGAGCAGACTGGCGGTGCCAAACTGGCAGGGGGCGTGACGAGGGAGGCGGGGAGGGGGCGTGTTGGGGCGGGGCCCGGGCGCCGCGCGCGTCACGGCCTGCGGCCCCGCCCCCGGGCCCTACGCGAGTTACTCCTCCTCCTCCGCCTAGACCTCCCGCTCGCTCAGTTCTCGCTCCACGTTCCACGCCGCGGCCTCGCTCCCCCGCGAGAGCCAGCGCTGCGGCTGCCGCGCGCACACGCTGCCCCGCGTCTGCCGCGCACGGCTCTCCCCACGCGCGCGCCTCGCTCACGGACGCACGTTCGTTTTCCCTCGCGCGCCCGGGTCGCGGCGGCGGCGGCGGCGGCGGCGGCGGCGGCGGGCGGACCGCGCGGGGCAGCTCGGTAGCGGCCGCCGCGGGCTGGCCGGCGGGCCATGGAGGCGGATGGGGCCGGCGAGCAGATGAGACCGCTACTCACCCGGGTAACGAACAGGGTGAGGGCGCCGCGGGCGGCGGGGTTCCTCGGCGGGAGTGGGGGGGGTCGCGGAACGAGGCAGACAAAGGCGGGGGCGCGGCGGGCGTCGCGGTCCGGCCACTCCGTCCCGGGCCCGGAGCCCCTCCGCCGCCCCGCAGCCGGCGCGCCTCGCCATCCCCTTTGTGTGGCCGCCCAGGGCGCGGGTGCGAGGGGGCGGCGGCGGCGCCCTGGAGGCCCGAGTGGGGGCAGCCGGCAGCGCGCCGCGGGCATCCTCGAGACCCGCATCCTCGCTGTGGCTCCGGCCGGGAGGCGCCCGTCTGTCCGCCCTTGACCCCGACCAGCTCTTCCTTTCTCCCCTCAGCGCTCACCTCCCTTACTCCCGGGCGTTCTTCCCGGCCGGGGTCTTCGTTCCGGCTACCTTGGCGCTGGAGTTCAGATTAGCCCATCGAAAACCCATCTTCTTTCTCCCTCTGAGCGCGGCTCCACCTGTTTCCAGCCTCAGGCAGTGGTGAAGAGTTGGGGTGAATCTTTTCCCTTCTTTCGCTTCTCCCTGCCGGGTCCGCGTGGTATGCTTTGTTCGGTGAGTTCTCCGGCCGCGTGGACGAGCTGCCTTCGCGGCCAAGGCTGCTTTTCGCTGCTGACTGCCTGATCCGCCGCCTCCTCTTTTGGCGAGAACCAGGGGAGTATCCTCCTGCCGCAGGCCAAGTAGAAAGAGGAAAGTGTCTTGAGCTCTCTGAGCTGCTCCTTCTTTCATCAGCCTAGCAAAATCTCGTATGCCGGTGGCTTTGGCTTCAGGATTCCAGGAGGGGGTTTGGGGGGGGAGGCTTTTAGAAGGCCTGCGTTCCCCTTTAGGATGCTGGACCGGCGGCTCCTGCTCGAGAAACTGACTTCCTGCTTTCATGTAGAATACATGTGTCCCCACAGTTGTGATTCTCTTTTCTCTCTTCGTAGTTCCTGACTCAAAAGGGCATGGAAGTGTTATAAATTTTCCTACTTCCAATTCTTACTCTGTGACCAGCAAAGGAGGGATGGTTGCACTGAAAATTTTCCAGTCTTTCACAACTAACAGGAAAATTGCTTTTCGTGTGTTTTTATTCAAGACTTTTCTTCCAACTCGCCTCCCCCCCCCCCCCCCCCGCCAATCTTTTTAAAGAATATTGTAAGGCCCTGGAGACTGGTCATTCATTATTACTTCAGTATGTTCACTTACAAATTCTCAAAACATGGAGGAAAACGGAGTCTCCAGACAGTGAAGTCATTTAGCAGTGGTTTTTGGGGAAGATCAAGTCACAGGGATGGTAATGGAATACTGGAAACTCGTTCTAAGGAATCTTCAGTAATTCTTTGTGTGACATTTGAATAAGCTGAGTTTTGGAGGTTTCTTTCTTTCTTTTTAGCACTTTCTCTGTTAATGTGTATCAAACAGTGTTGTCACATTTGCAAATTTTCAATTCAGAGCAGCTAAAGAACGTTCTAGTGTTCATAAAGCTAGATGGAAGCTGTGTCTTCTCAAATACGGTCTACTTAGCTAGCAAAAGAAGCATAGTAATGCCATTGCCTTCCAGATCAGTGATTCATTCATTCATTGTAATAACACTTAGAACCTATTTTGTAGTATTCAACAAGACAGAACCAGCTCTGCTATACTAGAACTTACATTCAAATGAATGACAAAGGAATTATCAAGCACTTATTAATGGCCTGGCCGGGGAGCACTTTGGAAGGGTATACCTTCTAAATCTTTGGAAAGGTAAAGACTTGGCCACAGCAAACGTATACAAATCAGTAAGAGAAATCAAATATAATAAGCAGTCACAGCACACAGTCTAAAACCAGAATGTTAGAATAGGAAAACTGTTGGTTAAAGTAGTACAGACCACTGTAACTTAAAAACTGGGAAGAGAGGAACTCTCTTGATACTTATTTTTTCTCATCAGTTTTCCCCTGGAAAAGTCATAAAAAATGTAAGATTATGATATCAGTCATTTCTTCTTTAACAGGCAGCTACTTGGCATAGCCAAAAAAGTAGAATAAAATTAATATTTATAAAATGCTATCTTGGGTATGTGATTATGCAAAATTTTTGAATAAATTGGTGGTAGTTTATATTGCTCTGAAACAAGCCCATCTGTTCCAGAATTTAGGCTCTGAGGTTTCTTCTGCTTCTAAAATTCTGTTCTGTTCATTGATCATGGTTTTGGGGTAAGAGGAAAGTCATTTATCTTATAAAAACGCAACTTTTGTTTGCTTTGCTACACAAACTTACTGCAGGCCTCCCTTAGAAGTGAACTGTCAGTCTTATTTTCTGGTATTAAATACTCTGTTACAACAGATAACACTGTTTAGAAGGTTCCCAAGTTTTGGCAAGCATTTATTCTTTTAAGCAGTACACTATTTAACATAGTTCTGTTACCACTGAAATTTTTGGTCTGTTTCATGAATTTTGTTGTTTCACAATTTCATTTATTTTATGGGTATTATATTATGTCCTAGGTGCCAGGCACTGGGGTTATGGGCACACAAGGTAGAGTCCTAACTGAGTTTATTTTGGCATGTATAGTGAACGCAGTGATAGCATTTGCATTCCTGCTAATTCTATTTATGAGTGCCAGTTCAAACATTTTCCTGAGTTCATTAGAAATGCTTTTTAAAAAGTAGTCATTCAGTAAATAAAAGCTAATAACAATATACTGTGAATTCAGTGGTGATTGGCAAGTAGAAGGTTTTTCTGGTGGGTCTGTAAGCATACTCTTTGGGATCTGTGGTTAGGTATTGATAACTCAAGAGATAATATGTACCCAGCATAGTATCAGAATTTTAGTTACCTTTTTGCCTTTAGTTGGTTTCTCTGCATCACAGTCCATGGAGTTGTAATAAAGGGAGAAACAGGAAATCTCATCTGTCCAAATGAACTGTAGGACAATTGAGTTGGATTGAAGAATTGTTTTATTTGGTAATTGAGAGTGATAAGTATATATTTTCTTCTAAGAGAACTTAGGGTATGAAAATTAGAATGTTTTTTTACACTAGTCTTCTGTTTCTTGAGTAGGTTAAAATCGAAAGCCAAAGTAACCTGTTGTTAGAGGAACCTGGTTTATTTTAGTGGTGTGTGGTATGCTAACCAATATATTTTAAAGCCTTAGTAGTTAAACTTGTCAACATCCTGTAATGGGTTGTTTTTCTTCCTCTTTCCTTCCCCTTCTTTCTTGCTATATTTTACCACAAATATGATCTTAAAGTGGATAGGATCTGCAGCTGACAAAATGGGCTATTTACATAAAAGGAGCATGCATACAGGTAGATTCAGAGGATTAGTGCTATAGTCAGTGTGGCTTTTGATTTATATTATAGCTTCTTTTTGTTGACTGTAGATTCTATAGTTGTCTGCTTTTTATGGATACAGTATTTCTAATTTTTCAGTAAGCATGTATCAGTAATAAAGATCAGTGTTTATCTATCTATGTAAGGGTGCCACAACCTGCCGAGATGCTTTTAAGCCCACTTTTGAACCAAGAGAATTTTTGGTTCCTGTACAAAGCACGTAGTCTAGCTTACAGTGAAACTTGCCTCTGTTTTTGTTTAGATAACTACTTCATGTATTTTGTTGAGTAATATTCATCTAATTTTATAACTTGGGGAGACATTTAGGATTATTTGTAATTATGATGATAATAAACCATGAAGGGTCTGTGCTTGGCATGATGTTAGGATAGTGTTTGGTACTGTTGCTGTTAACAGTCTTCCTGAGGGCACAGGACTTAGCAGCCTCGAGTATTGCTAGGTTTCCTAAATTAGTGATTCGTCACTTCATGAGCTGGACATTTTTAATGACTGTTATAAGATGAGAGTGGCCACTTTTTTTTTTTTTTTTCCAGTGCTTGGTTTAGGAAGATAATGTGATTATGACATAAATAGGCACTTTGATCTGGAGCTGATTTGTCAGTGCAGAACGGTTCTAGTTTGACTATAAGATTTTCATACTTACTCCACAAAGAGGATATATTTTTTTTAATTTTATTTTTTATAAACATATATTTTTTTTTCCCCCCAGGGGTACAAGTCTGTGAATCTCCAGGTTTACACACTTCACAGCACTCACCATAGCACATACCCTACCCAATGTCCATAACCCCACCCCCCCTCACCCAACCCCCCTCCCCCCAGCAACCCTCAGTTTGTTTTGTGAGATTAAGAGTCACTTATGGTTTGTCTCCCTCCCAATCCAAACTTGTTTCATTTACCACAAAGAGGATATTTTAAAATATTTTAATTTTTATTAAGCCATAGTTTGGATTTTAATAAGTCTAAGGAGTTGTTTTTTGAGCAATGTCCAAGTGAAGGGTAAAGCATACTCTGCCTTTTCATAATGAAATAGAAAAGATAATTTAATATTTTAAATATTCTTTGTTTTGTAGAGAATATGAGATTAGTGTCACTAGTTTTTATTTTGTTTACCTGTCAGACAGTATAGAATTGTCCTCTTTTTCTGGAGTTCAGGACTGTACTGCTTCTTTTTTGTCAGATTGCCTGATTTGGAGAACCTGTTGAGTTATATGTCATCCCTGACTAGGAACTTGGGAATTGGGTATACCTTTGAAAATGGATTCACATGTGCAGCCTGCCCATACTTTATATTATAGAATGGACTGTGGACTGATTTCTCAGAAGAGCATGAGAAAGGAAAACAGGATACTTTTAATCTCTTCTTCTTATCATTTGCCATAGCATATAATTAACACTTGGTGCTTTTATATTTGGTGCATGTTCTTTTATACGCAGATTGTTTTCAGCTTGATAACATTCTTTTTTTTTTTTTTTTTAAAGATTTTATTTATTTATTTATTTGACAGAGATCACAAGTAGGCAGAGAGGCAGGCAGAGCGAAAGGGGGAAGCAGGCTCCCTGCTGAGCAAAGAGCCCGATGCAGGGCTCGATCCCAGGACCCTGAGATCATGACCTGAGCCAAAGGCAGAGGCTTTAACCCACTGAGCCACCCAGGCACCTGATACCATTCTTCAT